CAGAAAACAAAAAACATTAAGCAGCAAGATCACTGAATTTTAGGAATCTTGCTGTCTTCTTGCCTTTGTGCAAACTGAAATTCTGAGTAATCCGTTGAGATGATCCAAAATGTGTTTACCTACAACGCTAGTCAATGAACTCTGCTAACATTCAGAAATGTCGTTTAGAAGAGATCATAAAACACAAATGTTTACACAACACGCTGACTGGTAACATCTGCCCATTCTTGACATAATTCCAGTTTTAAGGGACGGTGACAATTCATAAATTGACAGAACTATGGCTGATATTTTTTGTTTTCATTTATACAGTAGCAAAATAATTTCTTATTAACGATTCTAGAAAAAAGGCAAAAAAAATTGATTTACCAGTGTTTTTTTTAAAGGGTCTCCAGTTATTGCTTTGTTTACCCAGGTTGGATGCCTAAGGTCAAAGAAACATACAAATTTCAGCACAAAAGGAGCCCATTCAACCCACTGTGCCAATATCTCACTTGGTGAAGACATTGTGCAGGGTGGAACCTAGTCATACACACCCAGAAGGATGCCAGACTTAAGTCACATACCATGCTGGATTTGTTGTTCTCAGTCAAGGAAGCATTGGGAGTGCTAACTTGACTTCAACATCCATGAAAGAGGGAGGAGAGGAGTTAGATCAGTCAGAGTTCCCACTCCTGGTGCTTATCTGGTTGAACCATAGATGCGTGTGGACACATCATCAACAACAAGATTACATTTGTATAGTGCCTTTCATGTCGGGAGGATGTCCTACGGGATGAATAAAGGATTAGGTTTGGCTGTCAAATTGCATTGCACCTTTTACATAGGATAATAAATGTCTCAAAATGCTTCACAGAGATGGAGTGGAAACACTGCCCATTGTAGCTAAATAACAGCCACTTTGGCAAGACACTGGAGGGTGGCCAGAGCCTGTGGAACCATACCCCAGGCATATGTCGGAATTTACAGGAGGGAACGAGAAATAAAATATGTATGAAAAGGTAACAGCCAGCCACTTCTGGATTTTTCACACTATAACAACAACAACTGGCATGTATACAGTACCCTTCATAGAGGAGATGACCGCATAAGCACAGTCAAAGAGGTAGGTTTGAAGGCAAAACTTGAAGACAGAGAGGAATCAAGATGCAGGGGTCAAGGAGGGTTTCCAGAGGTTAGGGATACAGTATCAGAAAGCTCAGCCACTGATGATGTCGCGGGTGGGGCGGTGGACATGCAGCAAACCTGGAGTTAGCTGAGTGTCTGTGTGGGGGGGTGGGCTAGAAGGGGGTGCAGAAAGAATACGAAGGGATTTTTAAGTGAGGGGGAGGACATTGAATTCAATCGGCTGAGACATAGAGAGACACTGAGGCCTGCTGAGGACAGGGGTGATAGACATGACAAGCACGAAACAAAATAAATAAATTTGATAGAAGGACAAGGAATGATGACCTGCTTCACTTCTCCCATGAGCTTTGGTAATAGCATCTGTCATTGAGTGTGGGCGAAGATACTCCATCAAGGATATATTGTAGCAGATTCTTTTAAAAGCAAAAAGCAGTTGATTAACTATTTTTATTAGGTGGAAAATCAGGGCAATTTTCTTTACAGATTTCCCAGCTTCTCATAATGCCTATCTTTTTCAAGTAAATTTCGTGAAAGTAAACAACGGCAGTGGGAACCAGTTTTATTTGAAAGTCCATAAAGATTACACTGTAGAATTTCCACAGAAAACACACAAAGCTCTCTCTGCAGTCGTTTCTGGTGGATTTAGTCTTTATTTGTTTTGAATCATAGCCTACAGCTGTGAATAAAAGGACATAGTTTCCTTTAAGCTAATTTCCATCACCATCAGCCAGGGTAAGGATTGAGATAAACAGATACAAACAATTGCAATTGGGATAAAGTTAAGAATCATGGTCAGTAATTTCTTTAAAAAATTTCACAGGCAGCCTATTGGGTCTAATGTTAAAATGCACTTCCATTTTGGGAGGTCTTAGTTTAAAACCAAGCCAGACAGATGGGATAAAAGGCTTCTCCCCTCCCAAGCAGATAAAGGTCAAAAGTGAAATGCATTTGGACAATGTCATTCCCAGTGGATGGGAGTCCACAGTACAAACTTCCTTTCAATTCTAGTGCTAATCGACACCAATTAATGCAGCAACCTCACCCAGGAGCCATCATGTAGATAAACATATATGCAGTAGGGATTATCTTCTGAACTAATGTTTCAGGCACGTCGGTGACCAATGCAGCTGACCACTAAAAATAGCAATCTTTGCCACTAGATTCTTTATAGCGGGAAAACCCACTCTAATGACTTAGCAAAAAAGCGTATGTTAGTCTCCATTGTCTGTATGCTGTCGGAGAGAGAAAGATTTCATTCTCCAACATGGTCCTTCATCTCTCAAGTTCCCCTTCTGCCTGTTCCCCTTCCCTCCCCAGAAAAATGGAGCAAATCTTAGCTGTTGGTAATGTAACATCCAAACACTTTAATTAGTGAAGGAATCAATTGAAGGTTCAGGCACAGACTACATGGTCGTTGCACAACTTTCTACTATTTCTTGTGTGAAAAACAGCTGTATTTCTTTGTCCAACATCTGTCACATACCAACTGTGGACTGAAATTATAACTGTTTAAGAAAGAACAGCAGTTTAGTTTATACAAGTTATTTGGAAGCAAAAGCTGCCAAACGAGTGATAAAACAAGCATTCAAACAACAACATATAAACCAAAAGAAAAAAAAATGAAGTGTGACTAGCCAGAACAATCATCGTACTCAGATCCGAGAATTCTAGTGATTTTTCACACACATAAAATGGGACAATCTCAAGATTGATTCAAAAAGCCTTAAAAGGAAAGAATCAGCCCAAAGTTTCAAAGTTTTGCAGCATCATATACAGTAATAATAATAATCATCAGCAGCAGCATTCTTGCATATCAAATGCAAGGATTAATATTATTTAGTATAGTCAAGAGGATGTTTCAATGCGCTTCACAAGATTTACTCGAAAGTGTAGTGACTGTATTTTGTTGACAAATCCGGCAGCCTATTTGGGCATAACAATGCAACAACAATAGCCTTCAAGTGAATCTTTAATGTCCACCTGAACAGGCAGACAGAACTTTGGTTTAACACTCTCATTCTAAGGATTGAGTTGGGGGAGTTCAATTTTTAAGATTTATCCGACCACAGTAAAATAAGAGAGAACCTGATATAGATCTTGGTATTAATGGTGAAACAGACCCGTGGAGCTGAGACATGTTCACTGTCTCAATGAGGTGGCGGAGTAAAAAATAATTTTGGATTTGAGGTTGACGCAGATTCAGTGGGATGCTATTTGCTCCTGGCAAATGCTTTATACGATTAAATCAATTTATTAATCTAGTTCTATATGTGCCTTTCCTCTGCATGACCTTAACTACTTAAAAGTAATGCTGTAAATCTCATGTTTCATCATTCTGCTCAGAATCAGCAACAAGGAATTCAAAAGAACATTTCTACCCAAGTGTCACTTCCTCTCATTAAACATTGGAATTCTTTCATGTTTAAGAGGTTTTATGACCATGTAGTTGTTTATGAGTTCTGTTCCCTTGTTAGTTCAATAAAGTGCTGTAGGATTCTGGAACAAATTCAGCTATGTTAATCTCAATCAACATTAAAATTCCTCAAATCAGTAATTTTCTAAATATATCGACAAATTATCTTGATGTGACCCGACTCACAAGGGTACTCAGTATTGAATCCTTCATACTCAGAAGATGACTTATTGCTGAAGGATTTTACTTCCCTTATTTCAACCGCAGCACTGTTAATCAAATAACAATTACTTCTTACTTTGGCAGCTGAATTATCGTCACATGTACCGCAAAGTCCCAAAGTTATTTCAACCAGACACAAAACAATCAAAAGAAGCAAAAGCTGACTAATAGAAAGGATCATTTTATCTTCCTGACAGTTAGATAATAATTAATTATTCACCCCTTATTCACCTCTCCCAGCAATTTGTGACAACGTTTAATAATTAGCACCAGGTCTATGAAGAAACAGTATTTTCTGATCTGAAATGATTAACTTCATCCTGTTCAGTGCAACATATTACGTATTACTTACATGTTACATAGAATTTCATAGAATATGCAGCACAGAAACAGGCCGTTCGGCCCAACTGGTCTATGCTGGTGTTTATGCTCCACATGAGCCTCCTCCTGCCCTTCCTCAACTAAGCCCATCAGCATAACCTTCTGTTCCTTTCTCCCTCATGTTCCTATCTAGCTTTCCCTTAAATGCATCTATGCTACAACTCCTTATGGTAGCAAGTTCCACATTCCCACCACTCTCTGGTTAAAGAAGTTTCTTTTGACTTCCCTATTTGATCTATTTGTGACTATTTTATATTGATGGCCCCTGGTTTTGGTCTCCCCCACAAGTAGAAACATCTTCTCTGTCTACCCTATCAAAACCTTTCATGATTTTAAAGACCTCTATTTGGTCACGTGCTCAAATATAGATTGGTTGGCAAACTAAGGGGAGCAAACTGTACTTTCACCAATGTTATATTGTAGGTTACATAACCTTATTCAGAAATGAAACCGCCTTGACATCAGTAAGGATATGCAAAATCAATCAGTATCACTTCAGCGGACAGAACCTTAATTGCCAATGACTTTGTTTTACCATATTTACTATTATATGCTACTCTCACAATCTCACCTCACATACCATTGCACTAAATTTAGATATTAATTATGAATAGTTAATCCCACCACACAGGACAGTTTGAAACACTGTGCTATCTTACCTAATCTGGACGTCCATGAGGATACTATTGATGTCACTAGGCCAGTGGTGTTCCCACCAGACTGCTATGGAATGCAGCCAAACTGTAGTCCATTGCCGTATGAATCTAAGATATGGAGCCTTCTGCACTGTCTGATTTTCAAGAATTATTAAACCAAAAGAAAATCATGGTATCTTGTTTTCCTCTAACATTCCTACCTTGAAGGGCGAGTTCTCTATTTCCATATCCATCTCCTCCTCGACCTTGTGTGTCTCAGTCTATGTCACTTCCAACCTAAAAGTAGATCTCCAATTCGCCTTGCTCTGCGATGTATGCTGCTTCTTTTGTACCAGGTAAGTGCTCCTGTGGTTTTCACAGAATGGAAAGCATGAGAGAAGATACAACAACCTCTAAGCTGCTGTTTACAATAAAAGTCCTTTGTGCTGCGTAGCGGGATGAGTTGTGTGGATTGTGTTTGAACCTGGATTGTCTGTGCAGGGAACTGTATTAAATTAGGAGTGTATCAGTGACCGCATCAGCAATAACAATGATTTATGGTTTATTGACTGGAAGTTATTGCGTCAAATAATGAATGATATGTACGTTCTATGCTGTTTTAATTATACATTAACAGTTCATAACGGTCACATTTTGATATGTATTTTACAGTTATCACATTCTCCTGACAATTCTGCATCTACTCCAAGCTCAAGGCTGAAGTAGAAGCCATGCCTCTGTTGCTGTCAGGAAGCTCCTTCTTCTATGGTCTTCCTCCAGTTCTTCTGAATCAATTGCCAAAAAAGCAATCTTTTTATTGAAAATATTTGTTCACATTTTGAAACATTTTTGTATACCTTGTACTAATCTTTTAGACCTATAACTTGCCGAACAATTCTCTGAGGTTCATAGTTCGGAACTCCGCCGCTAAGATACTAACCCCACAAAACTCTGGATCCCCATCACACCAGTCCCTGTCAGGCTGCACTGGCTCCCAATTTCGACTTCCAGATCCTCTCTCTCGTTTTCAAATTCCTTCATGCCTTCACACCTTTCCAACTTGCTCACCCCCCACTCCACTACCCACTGCCTCCCCTCAGCCAGCTCTGGCCGCCTGTTCGTCCCTCGCCCCCTCCACTTGGGGTCAGACTCTGCCACTGTTAAGCACACAAGGGTGCTAGCCAGCATGAAAGGTGATATATAAATGCAAGCAGTTGTTGTTTTGTCTGCCTTCAGTTATTTGGTCTTAGTCAGGGCATCATTAGGAGAACTGTGCCAAGTTTACATTACACTTTCTGCAGCATGTTTGCAACACTAAAGAGGACTCGCACTTCATGAGGTTGTTGCAAGGCACAGAGGGAGTACTCACAGTACAATGACAATAGTTTACATTGTTTAACAATAACTTCTAGTATTCTCTCCACCCACCTGTAATTGGTTTTCTTTATTTTAGGATGAGACAGCGGAGGTCACCTCTCAACCCCCGATGAAAAAGTATGACTGATTTCTCAAGAGCAAGTGATCAGTTGCTCAACATTGGAACCTCAACCTGTTAATATAAAGAGTGACCGTTTTAATATCAGTCCAATCGCCACAGTGCTTAAACATCCAAAAATCAATCTGGCGATGTTGTGCATACATTTTCTACTGAAAGCAAATAAAATCACTGTGTTAAGCAACTCAACAAAAAACAAATGATTCCATCACATTAGGTTTTGTATAAGATGTCTTCAGCTGGACAGTCAAATCTGGTTTTAGATAGAACAGCATTTTAATTAAGTTCGCAGGAACCATTTAAAATGTTCAGATGTTAATTCCACTTGCTGGGTGGGTGAGTTGGGGGTTGGAAAGCGTTCATCCTTGCTTTGGGGCAGGAATGTATTTACTGGTTAAATGTTCTTGTTTATTCAAAAGTATCCTGTTATTACTATTCGTCTACATGGATATTTTCTTAAAGAAAGCTGGTTCGATGAGATAGACCCCACAACAGACACTGAAGTTGTGAATGTCTGGTCTACTATCAGTTTGATCAAACCACTTAATTATGTCTGAACTGGTGAACTCCTGTTTGATAGTCGGCAACCCCAATTTTTTCTACCGTTTCTTAGGTAGGAACCATCAGCGTTAAGATTTGTCCATTACAATTGATCTGCCTCCAGCAATCCATTTGTAGTGCTGCCCGTGGAATACCTTGCTATCGTTTGTTCAAAGTGCATCTCCCAAAGTAATAGTGCACAACAACAACAAATGATACTTCTATAGCACCTTTCCTGTCAGGAGGACGTCCCAAGGCGCTGGACAGTCAGGGATTTGGAAAATTATAACTGGACATTGTCAACTAAATTAGTCCAGCTTTGCTCCACTGTTTCACTCAGTCCCATTTTATAGCTATTGAAACAATGCAACAATGAGGATCAACAAATAGCTTGCAAGACATTAAAAGTTGAATTTTGCTGAAATTACCATTCCAAAGTGACTTTGGCTTTTTTTGCCCCATTTCAATAGTCATATTTCTCTCGTTGGAACAAGCACAAATTAATGCTTGATGAAGAATATAATCAAGAGTGTTGCTGTTGAAATGCTGAAGGATGATCGTAAACATGAGACCAGTGCTTATCAGAAAAACGTCTTTTTGTTAAGAATTTACTGATTTAGATTCGTACATATCGTAAATCCCAGAGAGAAAAATAAAGCACCTGCTTAAAATGAACATGGTATCAGATCCCACCGTGCTCTCGTTATTACTTTCAGATGTTGACATTGCTAAATTGGACGACTTTTTGAACACGGATTGAAGCCGGTGGCATGGGAAGTATACAAATCAACAAATTGGACCAATTTGAAGTTGCACAAGCCCAAGAAATTGGGCAAGGGCTTAGCTACTGTGGAATGTGCAAGTGTAATCCATTTGAATCAAGTACAGGAGTTGTGACTGGATTGCTAAGTATGAACTTAATATAGAAAGTAAACTGCTGAGAAGTGCTTGGCCAGTCTGAATGAGTTTCCATTAAGAAGTCGTGGATTGCATTTCACCAGTTAAATGTTGCCAAAAAAAGCTTATGAGACTTACAACAGCATTTGCACATGGATGTTAAGAGAGAAAAAGAAAATTGATTTCATCACTGCGAACAGCCAAAATCATCTGCAATGTTTGATTTATGGAAACCTCTTTGTTTAAGTATTTAGTGAATCATAGAAAAAGTGCGAATACATTTTTGACAAAGTGGTAAAGCTGTCAAAGTGGCGAACGGTGGTGGCTGTGGCTGATGGCTTAGCATTGTGCTACGCCAATGTCAAGTGCTCTGGGACGCCACCCAGCGTGAGGGACGCTGTACAAATGCAAGTTGTTGTTGTTGTATGCACAAGTGAAAGTGGTCTCTAGACCAGACATACCAGAGTCACAGGACATGACATAACAAACTTATCACAGAGGAGATGAAAACCACTGCAGGGATCATTCAGATCAGGTGAAATAACTCACATAGCTAGAAGGCTCTAGCTTATTATTATTATTATTATAAGGCTCGTTCCTAATCATCAAGGCTTCAAAATGCAGTTTTCAAAATAAACAATTTACAAATCACATTTCCCTGGAAAGATTTATGGAAGCCCAATGGTGCCAGTTTCCCTTCCTGTACTATTATTGAACTTGTGGGAAAAGTCCATTTTGCCTCGCCTGGCATCCACTACCCTGAACCTTTAATGGTTCTGTCAATGCATATGGACAGCTGCTGATAATCCTCAGATGTTATTGCTATGTTGCTCAGGGTAATCTACATGTGCATTTCATGCCTAATCTTTCCCAGGGGCTTTGGACCTTTACTCACAGTCATCAGCAAATGCCACCATTACCTGACACAGACTTTCAACAAAGTACCACAATGCAATGCAGTCTACGTGCTGCTGACAAACGGAGAGGTGAAAATACTCTTTCTATCAGGATCCAACATTGTAAAACAAATAGGCGACTCTATGTCTTAATATTTTTCCCATTCAGCTCAGTAAAGAAAATTCTGTGAGATCTGTTGCGTGCTAATCCCAAACAGTGCCAGTCTTTGCATTTTACATTGATATAATTGCATTCCAATGTTTACATATTCAGGGATTCAGTATTAGAGATGGAATTTGCTTACATTTCAGAGAGAAGACAAAATGACACTTAATCAACACAACACTGATGCAGGAGAAACTGCAGTTTACTTTTTTTTAAAAAGCAGAAAAGTTAGACTGACACTACTGCACATTCTTCCTGGTATTGCCAAGAAAATAAATAAACCTAATTCAAAAACTTTGCTACACGTATTGTACCTGTACACAATTAGCATTGTTAATGGTTAATCATTTCAGGATATATGAGTGGGAGGAATATAAGTAAAATGCTGAAAAGTATTCAAAACTGTCCAACATTTAAAAAAAATTTGAACCAAACATTTCGGCCACATGTTTTTAATTCTATTCCAAACCCTCCAACTCAATACTTTAGATTTGTTAATTCTTATCTCTGTTGTCCACCTACATAATGCAGTATCTGTATCATCTAGGTGGGCAGTAACTCTTTCAGTACGTCTAACTTTGGATCCATATTATGACTGGCTGAAAAGAAGCTTCTTCATTTGTGTTTTAATTATATCTGATTACGCTTGGACAATGCTGAACATGAGATGAAGCTGGATTGGCTTCACTCAGGGAATGTCATGTCTTGAGATGCACAGAACCTCTTTTTTTTGTTCTTGGGAACAAACGTATAATCACAGCAAGTCACCTCTTTCAAGAAAGCAAGTATCTCCTTCAATGACCTCATTGCTCCTGCAGTTATATGCAAAACGACGAGATAAGGATCTGTGGCCAGAGCTCAGTCTAATTACACTGATCCTTTACAAACATGACACAGGCCGGTGTATTCTCCTTTGATTAGAATGAAGAGAAAGGGATTCATTAATTGCCGCAAGTCACTTAGTTACAATAGGAGGAATTTCTCGGCATTCCAAAGTCCGTCATTATGTGAGGAATGTTTCAGCTTCGCTCATAATGTGGGGGTCTCCTTAAAAAAANTGACAGGTCACTGTGATAGACCTAGCACTGCAATCAAATAAGTTGAAGTACATTTCTTCTGCTTGGTATCTTTCTCACAATCAGTATTTCACTTCTGTCTCCAGAAAGCTATAAGAGACAGAAGTCCAGTCTTATAAACAATTTGCATTTTTAGGCTGTCTCCAAAGTGCTTCCCAGAGTTAGAGGTACAAGAGTAATGGATAATTGAATTCAGACAATTTGTCATAATTAGCCCGAAAGCTGGAGCAGTTCAATGAATAATTGCAAACAAGGAGGTTTAAGCCTGAACACAAGGCTATTTGTCACTTGAGCTTGGTTGCCTCACTTGATTGAGTTATCATTGTTTCTTACCCAAACTACTGGATGGATCATTAATTGAAAAAGATGCTTTTCCTCTTTCCCAAGTCATTAGTGAAATGAGAAAAGAGACGATCCAAGAAATATTTCTTCGCTACTTTAGGAAATGTCTTCTGGCTTCCTTCAAGTGGGAACACACTGCAGGAAGAATTCCAACGTGTTCGACTGAGAAACTCGGATTGTCAAATCATACTACATTTAAGTGCAATAGGAAAGATGGTAGTCAACAGATAAAACCCTTTAATTGTCCAACGGAGATTACTTTAAAACTGACCCAACAGCAGGATCTTGGCAATTAAATGAGCATTCTGCCCATTCAATTTGTTCAAATTATGCTTTTGAAAAAAACAATCATTACAGCAGACCATTCAGTTCCTATCTTACTACAATTATATGCACAGCAGCATTTAATTGAAGAAAATGGACAAAGGTAGTAAAAAGACTACTTGAAGGATTGCATTAGTTTTACTTATCTGTCTGGTGGATGAGTCACTTCATTCTTCCGTTGAAGGCTTTAGGTTTTTTGGAGTGGGAACTATTTGTGGTACATATCCAATTGGGTAAATTGGGTTAATGCTAAAATGTGAAATTTCAGGACAAAAATACTGGGGACCCAGATATAATGAAGTCATATTTTGGTTATATCGATGGCCTGAATTTGTAAACACATTCTTTACAATGAATTACACATTCTTACATTGCAAGATGAACTTTCTCACGCAGAGAATGGTGAAAATCTGGAACTTACTGCAGGAAGCTTTGGTTGAAGCAAAGCTGATCAATGTATTTAAGGGGAAACGTGATGCTTACATGAGGGGAAAGGAATAGAGGGGTATTAGGAGAAGGAATTAGGAGATGTGGATGGCTCATATGGAGTATTAACACCAGCTAAGCCCAAAGGCTTGTTTCCATGCTGTAAAACTGTAATGCTGTGTAAGATCCGAAAGAGAGAGACCTCAACATGTATGCAATAGATACTGGATTCTATGATTGTTTGGCATTACATTGAAGTGTGCTGGGCGACTTATTATTTACATAATTTTGAAGATTAAACTTGTGCAGCTTCATTTGAAAACAACTACTTCCATATTTTTCCATTGGTTGGTAGTATTTTGGGGAGATTTAATGGCAGTCGTAAAAAAAAGCTTTTGTGCTTGTGGTGGATTTGGTCGTGGTATAATAAGCACCTATTTGGAGTTTGGACTCTGCATTAACAGCTTGCATTAATGCAGATTTCCATCAGTAATTAAGAAGCAGTTCATCTCATAATTAAACGGTCAGATAGGGAAGAAAACAGCCAAGCTACAATTTTTAAAAACTTCCAGTGATAAGTAGTACATCTAACTACACTAATTAGACATTGGTCTTAACACTATGTAAAAGTATTATACATATTATATCCCACTGAAATCTCACACGCCACAGCATCAGCTTAATAGGAATGAAGGAATTAGTAGTGTTAAAGGCCCCTGGAATTTACTGTGTTCGAATAACCACCATCTTGTTCAAAACAGCCCAATTTAGAGTAGGATTTGCAAATGCTATATGAATGAGAATGTCACCATCATTTTTGTGATGCAGTTGGCATCAGGGAGATATTTTTCAGAGACTTTCCCTCACAATAATTGAGCAGAGCAGCATCCGTGCTTGTCTGGGCTGTGTCGTGTCTGCAGAAGGAATATGATAGCCCCAAATCGCTTTTTCTTGTTTCATGCTGCCCTATAAATAACAAAATAATACAGTACTGTACATTCATTTGAACTAGCTACTCCAGCAGTGATGCAATGCTGTCTTTCATATTTTTCATCCTTTTCAGGATTTTTTTTGAAGTCAATGACATACCTGTCCTTGATGGTATTATATCTTGGATTGTATTGTTTCATGCAGTGTTAGGTACAGTCAGGAACAGAGTGCAGCCTTAAATTCCCAGCAGGGGAAAAATGACAGCAAATAAGTTGTGGTTGTTACATTAGATGGTAAATAGTACAGCCAGAGATGACTGTGGTGTGGACACATGTCTCGCTAAATCGAACCTGGTGAACCTTTCGATACCGGGAAAATAGAAAGACTTGGGGAAATTATAGGGAGGTAACTGGGGGGGGGGGGGGGGAAAGCAGCAGATTTCTCATAACCTACTGCGATCTCCAGCAAGACTAGCTCACATTTGAGCCACTGGGCTCCAGCACAGGCTGCAAGCGTTCTACAGACAGGAGACACAGTATGCAACATTCTGCCCCTGGGCATTTGGTGCAGATGTTTTAGATACATACAAAGCAGCAGTTTTTCTGTTCCTAACAGAAACAGCATCTGGCTTAAATGCTAGTAACTCACTTGCGCTGCTCCAGTCATAATCGTGCATGGAATTAACAGTTAGATAACATGGTACATTGATTTGAATTGATTTTATCCCCGCACCATCACCATCTCTATATTTTCATGCTGTGTGAGACAATGAACACAATTTTTTTCCCCCCGCAGCTTGTCAAATAATATTACAACACAGGGCAGATATTGTCGTTCAAGCTAATTTGATAGCACTCTCACCTCTGGATCATAATGTTGTGAGTCCAAACACCCCATATCACGATAGGGGTCATTGCTCTACAGGGTCACTTCAGTCTAGTGTTGAGGCATCTCTGCGTTATCAAAGATGCTAACCTTGGAAAAGACACTAAAACAAGTGGTCCATCCTGATGGTTCAGGTGGCCGTTAAATATCCTGAAGCAGTATTTTATGTTAGTATCCCATGAAACAGTCACTATTAAACAGGGCTGAGCGGTGCAATCCCAAAGCAAATCATGATAGAACTTGAGGAGCTTTTGGAAGCACAATGACTTGTGGCTGCTATAGTATAAATGCAAGGGGGCATATACAACAACAACAAGATTACATTTGTATAGCGCCTTTCACGTCGGGAGGAAGTCCCAAGGCATTGGACAGAGTACAGCATTTCAGACCCGAGCTGGGGTCAGGGGTGGGAGGGAAGGGAGGGGAGGGGAAGGGGGGTGGCCGATGGCTTGGTCAAAGAGGAGGGTCTTGAGGCGGGACTTGAAGGAGGCTAAGGAGGGAGCGAGGCCTATACAATAGATTCTGCCTATACATTAGATTCAGTTTCGCCCACAAAATATATAGTCAATTCACTTTACAGTATATTCTACGAAGCACTTTGAGATGTCTCGAGGATGTGATAAGGCATTATATTAAATATAAGGATTATTATTATTATTCCCACTACTACAACGTAAATGCATAGAATGAAAATCAGTTCCATTTAAAACAGGAATAAGGAAAGAAAAAAAAGTGTTTCTTTGTTTTTTAATGTATTGAACTTTCTTTTTACTAGGTGTCCTGAAGTTTGTCTAGACACATTATGGGTCAAAGTCATTGTACAGTCTGAATACACAGTGGTTGCATTAGGTTCATCCGCAGAGCTGTGCAGACTCCGGGCATTAATGTATATTTGAGGATTGAATTAATTTGCGAGGTTTGGGGTCCTGGGTTCAAATGGCCTGAGGGGGAAACATGAAGCCCTACCTTGGCCAATGGTCCCAGTGGTCAGAGTTGCTGTCCTTGCCCTGCTTCAGTTAGGTCACTGTGGCTTATTTCCCCTCCTGTGGTGGTCTGGGTGGTTAAGCATTAAGTGTCAAGCGTGTCTCTAGGAAGGAACCTCAGACAGCCTGGCATTTCCTCAGTTCCAGGCAAAGGCCCCACACGGTGATCTGAGCTCTTATTCCAGGCTGACACTCCAGTGGAGCACTGAGGAACTGCTGCATTGAATGGTCTGCCCCAGAAAGCTGCAGATATAGAATCAGAAGGGATGTTTGAGAGAAATAGACAGATACTTGGGTAGTTGAGATATTAAGAGGTATGGTGAAAAGGCAGGCCTTAAGATTAAAAGATCTGCTAAGATCTAATAAATTATCGGAAGAGGTTTGATGGGCTGATTAACCTTCTGCTGCTCTCCTATGTTCCTAACATCACAAATTTACAATACATAGCTGCATTTTGTCTCCTTCGCAGGGTTGGATTCATACTTTGCGCCATTTCTCCCTTATCATCAAGTGACTCAGTATTGTTTCCAGGTCCTTTAGAATTCAGGGGAAGGGGAAGATCAGGTCACTTTAGAGTTTCTGGAGTGTTTGGGGGATTTAGACGTAGTGTCTAATTTGGAGGTAGCATTTTTGGGCCAGTTTAATTTGTCTGCTAAATACTCGCAGGGCAGATCTGGTTTCAGTAAACATTCTATCATACTATTCTAGTTAGTTCCAGTTTTGTGCTCCCCCAACCCCCCCACACACCCATTTTGATAAAACATTTTCTCTTGCAAAAAAAGGTCAAAGGTTATGTCTGTTACTTGTCAATAATATCGGTGCCTTTTGAAAAATTCTGGCTCACATTTAACTCTGGATTGGATCACCATTTATTTAATAATTGTTTGCAATAAGTGTTCAGAAATTTGCAGAGTGCCCAGAAGGTGAGAGACCCCAAGAGGAGCCCCATTCTCAGAAGTAAGGCCACTTGATATTATCATAAGTAAAAGATTTAAGATGCTCATTGTTGGCAGGCTTCAGGAAATAATTAACAGTAACCTGGCAGTCACAACACTGCTGACTTCTGCATGCTAGAGACATCACACTGACTGGTTGAACATCCCTCTCTGGCCATAAACAGGATGAGATCGGCTTATCAAAGAATAACCTTCAGGGCCAACGCAACTTTTGTTGGAGGACTGTTGCGTCAATAAAGTTGCATCGCAGAAGCATCAGTTGTCTCGCTCAGAGGTTGAAATCAATATATGTGCTCTTAAAACATGTACAGTCTGCATTAATATACCTATTAATTGGGATGCTGAAGGTGTGGATATCCTTGCTGAACAATTAACACACTTTCTCACTTTTGCCACCCAAACACTCAGCAAACACTCACGGAGGTGCTTTACAGCCCCCTGTGCACTGTTCTGCCTACTCTATCGCAAAAGAGTGCACCATATTGTCTGAGTGAGAATTTTTACCATTTCCTATACCAAACAGCCTCTTTGAGTCAGGTTGATGATTTAGTACTAAATTATGAGCTGTTTTTACCTCTGTCTTCCATTTCGCTAACAACGTTCATGAAGCTATGCCATATCTTTGACCTTTTCCTTCACTGAACAACTAGACTTTGTATTGAGTTTTCACTCCCTAACCAAGGTGCTGAAGTCAGTGTTAGCACATTTACCATTACCCTGGTCAAGATCATTTTGCACTACATTGACCACAGATCCTTGTTGGTCTGTTCAACAAGCTGGGCGATGTCTTTACCCAAGGTCGCAGTCAGTCATCGGGCATCTCCACTCACTGCTGAATGATTCTATTTTCGTGAAAATGGTTGTGGTTTCTGAACAATGCTGACTCATTTTCACACTAGCTACTTCCCGCTGATCCACAATCTCCAAAACACTGGGCAACAAAACTACAAAGAGAACACATTACAAAAATAAACGGTTGCAGAAAATAAAAAGGTCTCTCTGTACACTCACCTCATTTTGTGGTGCGATGCCTCATTCCTCTCTTTCCCTTGCTGTTCCCGACCACTCCTTTCCCATGGTTCTCTCCCTCCCACAACTGTCCCAATGCCCAGCTCGCTGCTTCAATCCTGAGCCGGCCAAACCATTCGTCAAGTTTAAATCTTTGATCCTTGGATCTCCTCTCCACACAAGTTTAGTATCTCTTTCCGCGAGCCTCCCCCCCTCCACCCAACCAAAACAAAACCCACACATTCTTTCTCGATACTTATAATAATATAATAATAATCTTGCATTTGATATCTCGCTTTTCACTGCTTCTAGACGTCTCAAAGCACTTTACAGAATATACTGTAAACTGAATTGACTATTTTTGTGGGTGAATTGCGGCAGCCAATTGCGCACAGCAGTGTCCCACAAGCAGTTATGACCCAATTGAGTGACAAAATTATTATTATTATATTTTGTTGAGGGGTTATTATCCCCAGAAAAGTGATCCGCCAATTGACTAAATTACTTAAACCAACTGTGAGTGTTCCATACTTCACCAGCCTCTTCTTTCGCCCCACAGAACAAGAACAGTCGGACATCGGAAGATAAAATTGTACAACAACCTGGGCAGAGCTTTTGAAACCACGGTGATAAATAAAGTACTATATTTATACAATATATGGACCTGACCATGTCCATGACCATGTAATATAACAAATCGTGCTCTTATATACATTTATACAATGTACGCACATGACCAGACAGAATATTTACAATGTTGCTCATATCTGCTTCTATAAACTGTGGCATTATATCACTGAATTATGTGTTGCTCTCTGTATACCACACATGAAGGGCAACAAGAGACAAATTGTATTCGACAGAAACAGGCCGCAACCATGTTTGTGGCACCCTACTCTGTTCAACTATTTTATTAGAAATCCCAAGGAAGAAGCAAACAGCCTTCTGGAATAAATGTTTCTAACTTAGAAATTAACAGTTAAAGAATTGTAATTAACAAATAGAGGTTCTTCCCACAATCCGGGCAGAAAATAGAAAATATTAATCTGAAACTTTGTCAAAATGGAAAAATTGCAAGTACTATTAGACATTTCACTAGATTTACTCTATTTATGTAGAAATTTAGAGCATTCAGAATTTGGAGAGTCATTGAATACCAACTTGGAAACTGTCTTTTTTGTATTCTTAAAAGAACGTACAGAAAACCAGGTTCAAATTAAGACTTTCACTGGATTTGGATCTGGATACTCTGAAATACAGCGTTAAATAGAGTAAATCTAGATACAGATGGAATTTCTCCCCAAATATATTCACCAGAAGGCAAATAAAAGGAAACAGATTCTTTGAAAGTAATGCAGAATCCGCAATACCACAAAATATGCATTGGTGCTTTGAAAAGCTGCTTTGGCTTTAAAATACGCATTATGAACAAAACCACTTAATGTAACTGTATCTGGGTCACCTGCACAACTATAAATGTATCTATTTGAAATCTATCTGCAGAAATCAAATTGGTGAAGCCAGGCTCAATCCTTTTGTTAAGGTAAGACTTAACCTTCCGATGCCTGTTCCTAAACCTCACAAGAAGATCAGACTACGTTTTCAGCTCCGTCCAAGATCAAATACTTTACAGTCGTGTGTCAAGGCTACAAGCAACTTGAAGAGTTAAATTAATCTGACGTGATGGGAGTTTTCATGTGTGTTGAGGGTGGGTTCAATGCACACTACATAAAAACTGAAGAAATAAAACTGCCCTCCTGTGTTCTTCGGCAATAAAAGGAGACTGACAACAGACAATGTGTTCCCCATCTGGATTAAAAAAACAGCAACAAAATAGTTTATACTCTAATTGCAGGAAATATGCAGGTTGAAGCACGTTGGCTAATTGTTGAAACTGAACCTTACTGTGAAATCTTGAAAGAAAATAAAAACAAACTTCTAATAAGTGCCTGTGTTTTTGCCCCCTCAGGAGGCAATCCTGAGGGAGGGAAGTAAAACTTTACTTTTAAATACAATTTGGAACACTGGGACTTGGCACAATTCGAGGTTGGTTTTTAATTGCTGCAGATTAGGTCTTACTGTTTTCTTGGGTCTCTGGTCTCCACCTCCACATGGCAAGAAAAATGGTAAACCAACCCATGTACATCAGGCCCACTGTCGTGCTGCAGCAGAGCTAGTTTTGGGTAACAGGTAAAAAAGTTACTGCTTCAAATACAAAACCTCAGTGGGTTGTTACCAACGTCTTACACTTGCTTTAGCGCCTTTCACCTAACATAATAAATAAATTAAGCAGCTTGGAAGAACGAGATGAATTCAAAATTAAGTGACTATTTCCATGAAGGCAAAAGTCTTGTGCCAGCAATGTGCAACAAACACCCACGACACACAAACAATGAATTGTCTGGGTGCCCCCTCTCTCCCCTCTTGAAAGTCCCGCCTAAAAATGTTTCTCTTCGATCATGCGCCTTGCCCCTCGCCCCGGTTCGGAATCAGGCTCCGCCACTGTTAACCTGCCCTGCGTGGAGGGTGCTATATAAGTACAAGTTGTTGTGAACGGGGGTTGGTGAATTGGACTGAGTGAACGTAAATCAGGATAATCAGGAGGAAACTCCACTTTAATCTGAAATAGTTCCACCCCTTCGGTAGCTCTCCATGTGTGAAAGAATGGTGCTTGTCACAGTGCGTGACCAGGACTTTACCCCACCTCTACTCCCACTCTCATTGTGCTCAAAGAGACAGAGAGCAAAACACTCCTTTCATCTGGGTACAAACAGTACAAGTCCCAGGGAGAATAGAAGACCAAGATTTATCTTCTAAATTATTTTTCTTCATTGGTAAACCGAATTGGATTTATTTTTCCATGGTTTAATTTACAGTGGAGTGCAATGTCCTGTTTACAGTATGGCCCCGTTGCTTTAACCCCAAGACTGCACTCCCCAGCTGGTCATGTTTTCAAAAGTCTAGAGCTCACAAGTTGTGATGTTACTGTTTATGTTACAGTAGAAATGCTTGTGGGCTTTCAGGCATTGTTTTATAACTGAAATCCTATTAAAATGTAGAAACTCTAAACGTATTCAGCTCGTCTGATGATTCAGTTGGTAAAGTTACTCCATGGGTTTAACTGTGAAATATGTAGCTCTGGAAGTTCCCAAGTTTGATCTCAGGCAAAGTTGCCACAACTGACCTCAGTATTCATGGGCTAGGAGCAGCAGATGAGATCAGTCATGGTCTTTGCTGATTGTTATTAAGTATCTCTGCTGGAAAATGTAAGAGTGTAGATGTGAGGTTTGACTGCAATGTATCTGATGATAGAATAGTAATAAAAATAATTCTTGCATTTGGTATAGTGCCATTCACATGGGGAGGATGTCCCACAGCGCTGTTGTTCTGTTTATCGAACACTACAATTCAAGCCTGATCGATGAAGTTTGAGCTGGCCAAGCCAAAAACTGAATCTGCTTTCAGCCACCCTTTCTGATTACAAAGCTCCCAGCAACGGTGTTGCCCAGGAACAGGTGAACCAAAAGAAATCATCTCCTCGAAGGCAGCCCAAGGGTTAAATTAGGCTTGGTTTTCAAACCATGTGGGTAAATCTCATTTATGCTGCTGGCTCTCAGTGAAGCAGCTCCACAGGCGTCTTTTCTTTGGCACACGTGTACTTTAAAAAGAAATTATACAGCACTTAGTATGGAGCAGATGTGGCCGCAAGTTCCAGAAACCATTTATACAGTACAGTGTTGCCTCTAAGTTGGTCCTTTCATAAAAAAAACTACCCCAGCGGTGGTATGCCTGAAGCCAGGATCAATTCATACTGTAGTAATAAGGACAGGATGGCAGATTTTTTTTGCAAAATAAAGGAAAAGTATGTGTGTGTGTGTGTGTGTGTGTGTGTGAGGTGGAGGTACAGAACAAAACAAGTAACCAAGATAAGTAAACAGGGGCCTCATCGTAATGGAGGCTGTCCAACTGTTCTATCTGAACAGAAGCAAAAAGGACTGCTCAGGACTGGTGCTAGCAGAGAATTCTGTGAAGATCAGAGGCCAAATCAAGAGGAAAGTTTTGCGCAGTGAAAGGAATTAAATTTCTTTTATATATATATATGCGCAAAATATGTCTAAATACATAAATATATCCTCGTGGAAATTGATTCAGTGTTTTCGTGATTCTCACAAAGTTCTCTTTCTCCAAGAGGAAAAAATAATTCTCAGGGACATGTGGATAAGCAATTGTAACACTTTAAGTTTTCTATTTCAAAGAATAACAAAAGGGTGAAAGAGTAAAGAGGTGCAGTACGGCAGAAATAAACATCGTGAAATTCAAGAAAATCAAATGGAAATCTTAACTTTCATACCAAAAGTCTGGTCCTTACAACGTATTAAATGTATTTACTAATTCTCAGTCATTTAGATTTAACTAGTCTCTGCAGCTATATTAAAGCATCATTAAAGTCAGTGTGCATTCATTCCTAAATGTAGTTATAGATATAAAATCAAAAGCCAGGACTCCCTATTTGTAATCAAAATTACTGTACTGTTCCTATTGTACACTGATTCTACAGAATCAGAACAAATTATGCAAACAAAATCTAGGACTCCTGTACTTTGCAAAGAACAGCTCGCTGGGTATTACATGCCTGCAGTCAAAGTCAGTGATGGGCTAAGGGTCATTTAATTAGCAAAGCAAACCACCTTAATGCTCAGTGAAATATACTAGTCAATTTTATTGGGATAAGAGCAAGCTTTGAGAGTCTATTTGAAGGAGGTCACTGCACATTATTGGTTTCAGTGCCATGGCTTTGTTGACTAGTGATGCCACTTTACATTCATGTTCTGGTTTGATGGAGAACTTGGCTTCAAAATCAGTTATTGTGAGATTACCGCAAGAACTCATTAAATAAAAAAAACTTAAATCCAAACACTTCACTTACAAAAGCTGTGCATCTGGTACTTAAAGATTGCACAGTATTCCGAGTTGCTCAACAGCTGGAATTCTACATTCTCATTCAGGTTGAACCACAGCAATTGGGACTCAAAATACTGGTTACATCATCAAATGTATATTTCTAAGGATTACTTGGTTTACTTTTGAGCGAATCTGTTTATATTTTAGCTTTACAACTTTATCTATTTGCATGCTCTAGTCATCAATTTCTTTGCGGTTCCTCCCTATACTGCATGTGTTTTAGCTGAGT